ACCAAAATTCTTTTGTTTTGTTTTTTATTCGAACGGAGATCTTAACTAGCGCGCACAAAACACACAGGCGCATGGCATTTGGCCAAGTTCGTTTAAATGAATGAATGAATAAATACAGAAAACCATGGCATGGAATTAAAAAAAAATTTGTATGGAAAAAAAATGAAGAGAGCGAGCGAGGAAGAGGGAACGAGAGAGAATGAACACATTGAGCGCACGCATATGATGCCGAAAAGTGCATCTGCCTTTTTCAATTTACCGAAAATGCAGCTGTCGCGCGGTCACCCCGAAAAAGATGAAGCGAATCATACTATAATGGATAAATATAGTTGAAACGGTTGGGTATATACTTTTTTCAATCTGGATAGAAGAACATCAAACCGAGACACTGGAAATGCTGATGAGCGAAAGAGAATGAATGGAAGCGGGAACGGGATGATATTAGAGAGAATGACCGTGAATTTGTCAAGAATGAAAGAAAAAAAGATAGGAAGAAGGGAGCGAGAGGGAGGGAGAGAGATGCGGGAAGGGGAGGTTGAGAGAGATGAAAAGAGAAAGACGAAATGCAATTGAGAGAAAAAGACCGAAATGTATAAAAATAGAATGTGTGACTATGGAAAAAAGGAAGAGAAATGCAGAAATGTTAAGCAAAAAACAAATAACGGCGAATCAAAAACAACACAAATACCATGGATTTTCATGAAATTGATGATGTTGTTGCATGCTGCAAAGTGTGCATTCACAACTTGCCAGACACAATCACTCACTTGCATACGTATTCGGACTGAGACAATGATACATCACGGATGCCTCGTCTAACTACTGCATCATTATTTCAAGTAGATTTTCCATACAACAGCACAAAACTTCTGTCAGTTTTCAAGCAGCATAATGCTGCTGTGGTAAAGGATCGACGAAAAAAAAATTTATACACTTGTGTTATTTTTGCTGTTTCTGGCAAACTTCTCGAAAATATTCCAATTCATTTTGATAGAACGATTTTAGCAGGGATTTCAAATATCAACAATGATGTCAGTTGCAGGAAATGTAAACGTTTCATTTTGAAAGGTAAATATGATTTGACCCGGCAATTTGATTTGTTTTCCAAGATACACACAAACTACCCAAATCGGGGAGGTTTTGATTTGCATGCTCAAGTGCAATGAAGTTGAGATTTACGCTTCGATTCTCGCCAACAATAACAATATTCATGTCGGAGATATTGTTTATTTGTATTATCAGTGTGGTTTTGTGGTTTGCTTGCAGGCAAAATGATGTAAATCGTTGAGCAGAAATCAATTGTTTTCTAGAAGGTGCGATTTGCAAGACAATCGTTCAGTTGATGCAATCAGCAACCTGTGCTAACCAAATATATAATCAGGTGAGGTTCAAAGTGGCGAGCAACAAGACAATCATCTTTCGTGGTTTGTTTTATTTTGCACTGCCAACAAGAAAAACTATTGAATGAGGCAAACCGCATCACTATTGAAAAAGTGTAAGACAGCTTGATCCCACTGGGTGCTCATAAACAATAGCGTCTTAATTGCATAACCGAATCGATGTGAGAATGAATTTTTTGTTTCTGTTTTGGCGAAAACATGCTCCAGAATCGTACATGCGATGCGTGCTCAGTGAACGAGTGAGTGAACAAAAACCACTTAAATTACGCACGCGTATGAGGATTTGAATGTGAAGCAAATGAGGGAATAAATGTCCGTGAACGAAACAACGATTAAGAACCGTCACGTCATGAAATGTGTGTGTTTGTGGGAAAGATGTGGAAGAAGGGGAACAAATCAACAGCACAAATGAAGCATAAGTTGTGCGCGCGTGGAAAGGTGCTCGAGATCGAGGAACCCGGCAAAAACATATGCACAAACACATTGACTCGCATACTTACTTCGTTCGGGGTTTACTTTTGTCAGTAAAATGCTCATATCATCCGGTAAAAAGCAACTGCCAGCCATACAGATTCATCGCACATGGCAAACAAAACATTGCGCAGATAGTATCGCGCGCAGTGTAGAATATGGAGCGAAAGCATTCAAGGGGAGAGTGCGTATTGTACGACAGCTCGCCTGAACCAACCGTTCTAGTTTAATCGATTCCCACACTAGTGTTTTGGTGATGGTTCACATTGCGCAAGGCACACTGTGTGGTGAGTCAACGACTGCGACTCGTTCGTTTTGCTAGACGCCGGGTGCAAATGCAAGTCGTGTGTCGTTCACCGCATGCTTGTCGTACACATGCACATCAAACGCAGAGGGATTCAACGAATAAACAATGCGCACCGAAACATTTCTTCTTCTCTCTTTTTTTTGCTTCATGGTTTAATGTGAGCGTGTGTCTATAACTTTCTATATGTTCTTGGTTTTCTCTCTCTCTCTCTCTCTCTCTCTCTCTCTCTCTCTCTCTCTTCTGAACACGCGTACCATTTGCCCCTGCATTTATCACATTCGTAGTTCTACTCACTGGGTTAAATTCATGCAACGGCAGCAATTTATTGTTTTTGTTGGATTTTGTTCCTGTTTCGTTCCTCTTCTCTGTTCCTTTTTCACATTGCTGCTGCTGCTGCTGCTGCTGCTGCTGCTGCTTGTTCTTGTCGTTGCTTTGAACTTGTTTGGTTTGGATTTGGTTCGGTGTTGTTAAATGCATCGGTTGTTCGGTTACGAAGTGATTCGATGTGATTAGTTTGATTTCGGTTATTGTCAAGTGAACATCGCAGACTGAGGCCTCTGCGCATCAAGTTAAGCAGCTGCTCGAACTCAAATTCCAGATACCAACAATAGCAACAACAACAATTTACCGAAATTTGTGATTGTTGAACCATTCTCGTGATGAGAAATTGAACTCAAGTGATACCTAGAAATATTGTTTTTTCAATTGAAATTCAGAAAATCAGTCGAAATTAGAAAATCAAATAAAAATATAAATCAAACAAGTCAATCATAAAAATCGAATAAAACCGAATTTAAGGAGAAAAACTATTCAAATTGTTAATCCATCTAAAAACTGTTTTAACCCATAAAAGGACGTGAACAAGGATGCCTGAAGTGAATAATTTCAAACGCAAACGTGCAAATCGATCGTCAAGTATCGTAAACCCAGATGGAAATTGTACGCCCAGTGACAGTGAGACGGACGACGAAGAACATAATCGATTGTATCAGCGCAAAATCGTTCGACGGCAGTCAATTAGCGACGACAATGGAAGAGCTCAAATCGAAGATGAATCAAGCAATTCAAATTTGTCAGCCGATAGCCGGAATCAGGGCAATAACCAACTGTTGTACGCTGCATTGAGGAAAATACAAGAGCTCGAAAATGAATTGGCTGAATTGGACGAAGCGGATTATGATTCCGGTCATCAAGACGAAGAGGACGATATTGATGAAGGAAATGGCAGCGAAACGGAAGAAAATCATGAACATCGCGACGAAATATTGAATGGTCAAGCGGAAGCGCTGGGCTTTGCATTTTGTGTGAAAGAAACATTTGAATATTTGGCTGCACAAGGCATTACCCCAGACAACCCCATTGTGACCTCGCTACGTGATCGCTTCCTCGGTCAATGCAACCAAGTTCAATTCCAGTGAAATATACGACCATAATCAATATAAACTCTACCACAAATCCATCCCATCTAGTCAGTCTGAGCAAACGCGGTTACCGAATTTGAATATACACCGATCATCACATTGAATGGACGATTTCAATCCATTTCGGATTTCGTTCATTTTCAAGTATTTATTAAAGGGAAACTTACTCAAATTCACTTATTTTAGTCTTCAATTTTGAATTTTACGTAAGTTTTCAAACAAATATGAAAGAAGAATAAAAAAAGGAAGAATTAATTTAGGAACTAGAAAAAGAAAGAAAAAAATCGTACAGAATTTTATCGAAGAAAAAAGCAGGAAAAAAATTTCAAGTTAAAAATCGAAGATCTCGGTAGCGATTTTGCTATGAAATTAATGAAATAAAAAAACCGTACCGATCTCATATTTTACACTAGCAAATAGCATAAAACTCTCCATTGTACTCTAGTAGTAGTAAATCCAAATAATTCAATAGCAACCGATAGACATGAATTAAGAATCGCTTAAGGTAGACCAAAATATTTTAGAATTTTACGTAATTTTTCTAATTTCATTCAAGATTAAAATATTCAAGTGGTTTCTAGTCAACAATTCCATTTTAATCATAAGTCACCGATTTTTAGCCAGTTTGGGCTTTTTTTTCGTTAATTTAGACAAATAGATAACATTTTCAATCGATTTGAACAATTTTGTTCCATTTCAAATAATAATTTCTAATAATATATATTTTTCGAAATGATAATTCTGACGTGAGACTTTCAGAAAATAGTGATTGATCAATACGAATAGTGATAAATCATATTGAAGCGGTGCTCATTTTTTAGATATCAATTATCTTATAGAGATTCTCAAATTTAAAAAAAGAGCAAACAATTCCCCAAATCATTCTTTGAAGGCGATACGGTTTGTGTGGAAAAGATCGTATACGGTCGCAATCGCTTGGAAATAGTGTCATCATTTGCGACAAAAATCCAAGGGGATGACACAAATCACTCTTTTGAATTACTTTGAGAAAAAGTAACTAATTGCCAGAAAAATGTGACTAAAGGTGATAGAAAACAGACAGAAAAGTACATTTTGTGTGTAATTTTTGGTGGAAAATTACTTTTATATTTTCTTTCTTTCTGGCCTGTCGAATTACGTATTCTTTAACAATTTCTTTTGGGTGGAAAACAATTGAAAAGAGTGATTTCCCCCTTGCAAAAATCAACAGCATCTGCGTTTCATCAGTTCAGGTGGAAGTTTAAATTGGTACCTTTAGTAACATAGATGTACCACGCACCGAGCTCTTAACGCATGCGCTGCTTTGAACCGTTTGACATATGTCCCATATGGGACAAGGTTAAATCAAAGAATGAGAACCTTAAGAACGTTGGTATTACCAAATTTTATAATTACCGACTTAGATCAAAAACAAGAAAAAAAAAACCAAACATAAAACAAAAACGCATGCAAGGTTTTAGAGGATAAAAATGCAAGGATTTAGTTTTTAAGAATCAAAAACATTTTAAATAAAACTTCTTATTTTCCGGAAAAAGTCCCATACATATTTTGATTTATTCATTTTAAATTCCAAATCCGAAATTATGAATAATTAGCTTAAAATTACGTTTATCAATAAATAGCACTAAATACAATGTGTTTTGGCTGGTTTTTCTCTTCTTCTTTTGCTTTGGCATGTTTTTGCCGTTTTGTAGTCTTTGGTTTGTGTAAACTTTGTGTTCGTATAATCGGCAAGATATCGCTGTAGTGAGTGGGTGGGTAGTCATTTAATTGGCTTTTGCCTTGATGCCGCTCGAAAAATATGTGTGCCGAAAGAATTGCGCTGTTTTATTTACGATACATTATACTAGGTCCGGAATAAGCGGCAATAAGCAGATCCTTTTGTGTTAACCGTAAGCGTTGTGTTGTTAGCTTGCACGTCACGTTGTCATCGATGTTTAACGATGGTGGAATAGCAAGCCATTGAAAGTAGACTTCGTGTGCCAATCGTGGTCTATCCGTTCGACTTGTGAATTGTCTGTCTATTTGATTTCCATCGTCTTCACGACATGCAGCTGTGCCATGCAACCACCGAGCATTCAAATCGTTTCCACAAACATGCGATTTATCATTTTTTGTTGAATAAGTTCCGCAACCATCGATCGTCGGAATCATCTGAACGAAATGTAAGTGAAAGAGAGTGGAAAAGAAAATAAAACATTGATTACTGTGCAAAGTTCAAAGTCGAGAAAATTAATTTTCAAAAGGAATCGAAGCAAAGCGACGAGTTCAAAGACGTAACAATCAACTGTCCGTAGCGTAGTATACAATTTCTTGCATAGAATAACTTTTAATTTATTCTAGAGCATATGTTTCTCTGAAGAAAACCCATTGCGAACAATGTGCCTTATCACTCTCTGGCACTAAATGCAGAACACTCAACGACCCGACAAACTAAAGTAATTGTCGTTTTTGTTTCGACACATTTTTTTCTCTTCACTTTTTCAACGCGTTCTCTTTTCAATTTTCATGGAATTCCCGATTCCTTGCTCTTTTTCAAGAGTGTCTGAAAAAGAAAAATATCCCAACTCTTTCTATCTTTTTTCCTCCTTTCCTTCACATTCCACTATTCTCTCTTCCCATTCTGGCCTGGCGTTTCCTATTGCGCTCACTGTTGCTTTACCTATTCCTTTCCTTTCCTTCTCTCATATTTCCTCTTTCATTTTCTATCGTGATTCATTCAAATCGTTTCTCTTTTCCTTGAGCTCCTTCCATTCAAGTGGCAAGAAACTTTACCCTCTGATTCTAAAGACATTATGACGGCTATTTAAAACAAAAGAAAAAAAAGCAGCAACGAGAACAAAATTAATGTGCAGCCCTTAAACAAAGTGTCATCGTTTGTTAGGCCAGCGATAAAACTTATTGAGATTATTATCGAACTTCATTCTCGTGTGTTGTTGTTCTGTTATTGTTACTGCTGCTGTTGTTGTGCACCATCACTCATGGTCACATTCTCTTCACTCTGGGCGCTGTTAAGTTTTCGAAAACGTTTTGTTTATCGTTTAATTAATTTTATGGAAAGTAATTTTTTTTTTCGTCCCACCTTCTCTCCATGCACAGGCACAATCAGCAACGGAAAATAAAAATTGACTCTATGTTCTGTGTCATTCAATAAAAAATCCATCAAAACAGAAAAATACCAATTGAAATGTTGAAATGAATAAAACACACGAAGTAATTTGCAGAGATTAGATTGAGTTCAATGTAAAAGATCTGGAAATGTGTGTCCGAATGCAAAAGAAAAAAAAAACAAACGTCATAACATCAAGAGCAAAAAACGAACGCCGAATGGTTGCTCTGTGTGTTGCTGCAAGCAAAATGCGCAACTTTTGTTCGTTATCGCATAATTTGAAAATGCCTCAGAAATCCGGACGTTAATTCTATTCTTTGCTCGTTCCTTTGGTTTGCAGCGCAAAAGCAACGAATGAGAAAAAATCAATTAATTTGCGACAATAACATACATTTTTTCTTCGTTTTGTATTGCGCTGTTGACACAACATCGCTCACAAACAGTAATTTGACTTTATAAACAAAACCCAAAGTAATTAAAACTACTGCGAAAATTCGTAATTTTATCGCTTGCGATTTCTAATTATGACATTTTTGAAGTACAAAAAAAGAACAAAGATAACACAAACGATGATCAGATTTTTATGGAGAAAAACATTTGTGGAATTTCACATCAACTTGGGAGAATTGTTAATTTTTGTTGCCTGGTTTTCTTGTTCAAGTTTATGTTTTTGAACAATTTCTAATGGTTTTGGGATGTGAAAAAAAAACCGTTGCTCGAAGATAAAGAAAACTCTTGCGATTCGCTACAGAGAATGAACATGATTCCCTTCGAAACGAATAAATCATTGAATTAACCACACAAAAAAACGCTGACTTTTGCCAAAGTATTAATTTACTTCGATTGCCAATGCAAAACATTATTTTTTCTCTAAATTTACGATTCGACGGTCGTAGGATGGCATAGAAAAAAGTCAAACACTTAAAATTCAACGTACGTCAGTCATTTTTATTCGGGGGGGGGGGGGGGGTTGGATGGCAAGAAATCATGGCCCGTACAATTAGCAACCAAAATAATGATAGTGAAAAATTAGCTGGTTATTTCTCCGTTCCTTTGTCGTTGGCGACCGAAAACGATAGAATGAAGTAAGTGATCACATCATCGAATCCATTGTAAATGGCGTAGAATTTGTAAACGCCGCGATGCCAAACGGTCGTTCGCCTATCGCACAATAACGAACGAAAGACAGAAGAAATAAACAGTGCAGAGCAAACGAAACGAACATAAAATATGTTCGAAAGCGTAAAAGCCATGCTGCCATTATGTGGGTCACGTTCTCACCGAATGGCAGTTAAACGCCATTGAACTTGAGAGTTTATTAGTTGGTGAAGTCGTCGTTGATGAATCAAGGCACTGAAAAATCATTAGGCAAATGTGCTGCGAATCATTAAGCGATTATTTTGCGAGAGTCCGAATGAGCGACCAAACATAAAATGGAAATTTCTGAATTCCTCGCTCTCTGTGTGAATCGAAGCATTGTCACTCTTCTTAGTTTTTTTTTCCTTCTTCTGCCAGAGGTCCAATTCTAATTCCCAAATAAATATTTATATTATTGATGCAATCACATGGGAAATTCAAACGGCTCAATATGCCTGAAACTCATAAAAATAACTCCGACGCTGAGGGGAAAATCAAAAACACAAGAGATATAGATAAATCCGAATCACACAGATCAATTGCGGCGAAATGAAAATCGAGACGCACCACATGGATATCATTTGAATAAAAAAAAATATTACGGCTTTTCGCCCTATCTCTTATCTCACAGCGTAACATCTCTACGTAATTTACAACGTAAATTGAAGCAAACAATAAACTGAATTATTCAACATACCTTGTGATTTTTTGCTTCTGCTTCTGATTCTTCTTCTTCTCGAATAAACGAAAATACACAGCAGCCGTTATCTCAAATTCGCGAAAATAGCAGACGTGCACGTATTTCTTCTTTTTTTTGTACGCTCTCATAAACGAAAACGTCGACGGATAATTGAAGATTTTTCAAACTGTTACAAGCACCAAATAAAATTAGAATGTTTGTACGAATCGTGTGCTATACGCCGACTAAACTGAATGATGGATTTTGAGCTGAAAGGAATACAGACTATGTGTGTGAGAGAGAGGGAGAGAGTGAAAAAAGCATATGAACGCAGGAACCCGTGACAACAAAAGCAAAACGGAGACATAAACAACCAGCGCTAATATACTGTTTGTTAGAAGAGAGCACTTCGGACCATATATGAATGGCACCGTATATCACATTCACCAAAGAAAAGAAGAAAAAAAACCAACAACAACCATCTCACTCTGGCTTATCGACGTATACATTAAACTATCGCCTTCCGACTCTCTGTGTTGTTCCTTGTTCCATCCTGGTTTACAACATTAGATCAGAGCAGCAAATCGCACATATGGCTGCAAACGTTGTGCATATATCACCGAGAAACCATATGTGATCCCCTTAAACGCATATGTTCTCACATATACACAACACATAGTACACACACAAACACACACGCTCTCTCACTCACACTGTCGCACAGGCAAGCAGACGATCGTTCATTTCAACGGCTTCGATGCGGGCCAACATTCTTTATGTGCTTGTGTATGTTCGTTTTTGTTACGTACTGTTCGTTGACTGTTTTGCATTTATGATCATAAATTGTTTTTATTTGTTCGAACTCAACGTCCGGAATCGTTCAACAAACTCTATAGAACATTTTTTGGCTTCGCTGGGTTTTTTCCCTACTTTTCTGGAATTTATTTATCTATTTTACTTTTTTTTGTTTTCTATTCCTTTATGCCTTTTTTCTGGTGTTTTTTTTCGAATTGATTTTCAAAAAATTCATTGCCGTCTATTAGATTGTTTTCATTTTCTAAATTGTGTGGCTTTTCTATTTGCTTTTTTGGAAGTTGCAAATGCTCTGCAAAATAATTGAAAGTCAACTGTTCCAAGAGCAATTTAAAGGAAACGAAAAGAAATGAACGATTTTTGTTCAAAAGCATAATTGTTTTCTCTTCAAATTGACAATTTTTCAATGTTTATAGATTTTCTTGCGCGTAGAAAAAATAGCTCATCGCTGTTCGCATCGAAAGTGAGCATAAAAATGTCATCCTTGAAATAGGATAAATCAATTTCAACATTTTGCGACATCCAAAATCAATTACTGATTACGGAGCGAAAATCTTTCGTTCAAATTGATTTGCACCAGTTGTTCATTGCTCAGCTTAATGTCATATCCCTGTCTCTGTCCCTCTTTTTCACTATACCTCAAATGGAACATGTTGAAGCGAAATACAACATGTTCCAATTTCGTCTCTCTTTTGCTTTCTTTGGCATTTCAATGTGTTACAAAATAAGTATGTGTGTAAGTCATTGAAACGCAAAATGCGAATTACGCTCATTCAAGATTCTGTATTCGTGCACACAATTTTTTCCCCGTTGAAATCACAGTATTTTAGCGTTCCTCAATTAGCCTCGTTGCTTCGTCTCTTTGGAGCATCTGCTCACTTATCCGACCGGGTCGGATGCAATGTCATGAGCCCAACCTAATAAGCGACATACAGAAAACACTTGAAATATGCTATTTAGTGGTACTCCTATATCGGGGCGGAGTAGAGAATGTGCAAACAAGTCAGCGACAGCTGTAAAAACACCACTTATTAATGCATACGCTGAACACGAATTTCGCTCAATTCTGATTTCTGTGAATACGACACAAAAAAAGTAACAACAACTACGAGTTGTATGGGAAATTAACATCATAGGGAAATGCTTAAAAATGAAATCTGAATAACACCTGATTTTCTTTTTTCTGCCAATGCATATTTACACGGGATTATCAACAGAAAGTGATACCCGTTGATTGCATAACACAAATGACAACATTGTCGAACGTTGTCGTGCAACATAGCGTTCGCTACATAGTTTCTGTTCATTTTTTCTCCTTCGTCGGGTTGTGTGATGATGATGATAAGTACTTGAATTCGAGAAATCGAGCACACATTTCACACGATTATTCGCTTCAGCAGCATTTAATTGCTAAAT